AATATTAGAGGATTTACGGTAAACTATTTTTTTTCCCAATTAGTGAAATAAACTATAAAGAAAATGAATTTAAACCTGATATGGATTATAATCAGCCTGAATACTGAAACCAGAGCAGGAGATAAAGAGATCACTCACCCAAAGGAGAAGACCTGACTGGGCTTCTTCATGGTCACCCAGGAGCTGATGAGACAGGTGATCAAACTGCAAGTGAGAGGAGGAAGAGCAGGTAAAGAGAGAGGAGAGGAAGGGTGATGGCAGGGAAAGAGGAGAACGGGTGATTGAAGGACGGTTGGAAGGGGAGAGAAGAGAGAGGGGCAAATAAGGAGAGGCAGTGAGCGACGAGTGGCAGATAGACACAGAACCAACCAATGGGGTCAGCCAGGGGTCACTCATCACGACCCCACAAACCATTTCATAGAAAACAACCATCATCACTTCGGCTTAAACAGCCATATAGGTAGAGTTACAGCAAGCCGTCCCTACATCCCTAACCGCTGATCCAGACCCAAACTAAACCACGCTGAAATAATCTGGGTAAGGAAAGGAAGAACTCACCTGAACAGGTCGAAGATGGTGAGATATGTGTAGGCGGTTAAAGCTGTAACGACAGAGGAGATAAAAATCCTGTCAGTGGTGAATCCCAGAGCCACACCGTGCTGAACGTTCTTATTCTGGACATAAATATGAAGCTGGTTTCAGAGACACGACCTGCAGCAATGAGTGCAGGGAGTTTTAAAGGAAAAGTCCGCTCATTTTAAAGCTTTATTTCTCTTTTGTTTTTCCTCTTCTGTTCTATTTACATTCCAGTGTCCATATAATCTGTAAAACCCCCTGCATAATTATGATAAAGCTATTTATATGCATGAAACAAGCGGAACACTATGGAGATAGCCGTACTGCTCCACTGGTGAAAGTAAAATCTGTTAAGCTCTTTTTGGCATCAAGACAATTATTCTTATTGCGACATCGCCAGACAGGACTGTTAAAAAATAAATAAATAAAGCTTTATTTCAAGTGAAATCAACACGTTTCAGTCACACAGATTTAATGTGGTTTTCAAAACCAACCAACTAACCAATCAACTTTTTCTTTTTTATAATAGACGAAGAACTACTAAAATTACGTTCAGATTAGACATAAATAGACCTCCAAACGAAGGTCATGAGGGATGAGAATGAGTCACAGCCTCCTTCATGGCATGAAGGGAGGACTGCTGTTATTAGGAGATCCATCTGACCAGTTTAAGATATGTTACCCTAACAGGGAACGGCCTTGATGAACTCAAAACATGTTTAAGTGGGAGAAAGTTCTTTATGCAGGGGGTGGGTTGGTTCCCCTGGGGGGAACGTGTGTGTTGGGATTTTTGTAAGGTATAAATGTATGTAGTGAGGTTGCCTCGGTCCTCTGTCTGAGGACCTTAACCCTTAACCCTATAATGCCAAATGTATCGTATTTGATACATACATTCTGAAATGTTTTGCGTCTGACACCTTTTGCATAATTTAATGGTAAAAACTTTGCTCAAAATCCTATTGTACACAATCAGATATACCTGATAACAGACAGCAGAAGACTACACAAAAAATAATCTTGACTTATCGCATAGTAATAAATTATTAATATCAAAAATGTATTTCTGTTTTTTCTTTTTACATATTTTGTTAAAAGGCCAAATAAGGACTTCAAACAAAAAAAAGAAATTTTCTGTTTTGTTTTATTCTTGGATCGGGCTTTAAAGGGTTAAATACATTTTGAAGTCCACGGTCTAAACTTAATTTGCTGGGTTTGCAGATCTAGACTTGTTAGAACCAGGCAGTGAGGTTCTAGGATTGTGTGCACCGGCTACAGCTCGGGATCAGGGACCGAATCGCCTCTGAAACTTTTCTGATTTGGTTACTACAGAGCAGCCTGATGAGTAAGTTAACTAGTCAACCCAAACCAAAGAGTAATCAGTGTATTAACTAATTAAATAGTGAGAACAGCCTGGCTTCAAAACAGAAAACCAGTCAGTCCATCTGTCAACCTTCCCCCTGTCTGTCTGCAGAAACATCTGTCTTCCGGTGGTGTCTGTCTGTCTGTCCGTCTTAATGCCTGCCAACCAGCTTTCTGTAATCAGTGCCGTGGGGGAAGAGGGGGCAGGATTAGAGCGGCTTTGTGCTGAGAGGAACATTTTGTTTCCCCACTAAAACAGTCCATGTTGGCCAACCTGACGCCCTGTAATCCTCCTGACAGAGAGGCTCACGGCAAAGACCCGCAGAGATGGACGGGATGGGGGGGAGACACACCAACAGCCTGATAGATGGATGGGAACATCAAGGCAGATAGACGGGTGCAGAGAGAGAGCGCAGAGGTGAGAAAAAGCAGCAGACAGGATGATGGACAGGTGGACGGACAAACTGACGGAGGAAAAGTGAAGGAGTGAGAAAGAGTCTGAGAGTCTAGTTAACAGATGAAGAGCAGCAGGCTTTTACAAAGGAATATTTCACAGGGCAAACACATTGGTGTATACCCTATCTATGTTGAAAACTAGACTCTGAAACTCTACTTCCTGCTTTTTGAGGTGGAATGCAACTTTTTTTCTTTGTTCCAAACCTACTTTTGTCCAAAGTAAGGGACGTGTGTGTGCTTAACTAGAGACGGAAAGTTCCTAATAAAGATATGAGATCATTTTTAGGTTCAATATTATGTTTCATAGGTTAATTAAAAACATCAGAAAGTCTGATGCTACGTTCGAACCGAACGCCATCAAAGAAGCTTCTGCTGCTTCATTTCTGATGCTTGTCCACATTAAAGCAAAAGTCCGGTCAGCAAGGAACGATCAATTCATCATTATTTATACCTAAAACTAATATGGTTGCGGTGATTAAATGAATTTAGTGTTAATCGTATAAAAATAAAAACATTTTCATCGCGATCTACCTAAAACAAAAACGTTTGAGATCATTGAATTAATTTAGCATCAATCAGTAAAAAAAAATGAAAACAAACATTTAAAAAAATGTTCATTAAACCTTTTCCTCTTAGACATTGGAGTGGTGCATTTAAATGTTATAGAGCTAAACATGTTAGATTGGTGAGTAGTAGTAGTGTCAGTTTTTAACCTATCAAGTTTTTTTTTAGATATTTAACATTACAATTTATATTTTTCCAATCATTCAACAGTTTAAAGCAAAGTTTAGTTTGAAAAGAATGTGCAGGAAGGATTGAAAAGCATGTTAACACGGTAATGTAGGCTAGAGTTCATCATCTGACACATGCAGATACACACCAGGAACCTGGAAACTTACTGAATTACATGTTTCATTGATATATATACAAAAATGAATATTAGGAACTATATTTATCAAACATTATACTGGGCAAGTAAAAATAGTTTCTGGGCAAATGAAATGTAAAAGTCACTTGCCTGAAGGAGACGACAAGTTATAAATTGGTTTAACACACCAGAATCAAATAGGTGAATTAGCTCCTAAGTATAAAATTAACTTTTTATGACTGAGCATTTAATTTAAAACATACTTAATATATTGGAAAGTTTACTTATAAGAGTCTTGCTGTGATATTGTGTCATCATCATGTTGGTGAAGCAGGCAGAAAAATAAGCAAACATCATCAGTCCTGATTCCCCATCTTTGTTCATCAGATGGATCATTTTACATCTTCATGTTGTTGCTTCTCTGCATCCGCCTGTTATTTAGATACGCTGCAGATCATGTCTCCGCAGGGATCGATGGGGTTTGATGTCATTGTGTTGTGTTGAATTAAAAGCTGCAGACAATAAAAAGCAATAATAATACAAACGCTGACATCACAGTGACCCTGAAACGGGCCGGTGCCGAATCAATGGACGGGTTGAAATTTCCCCTCGCTCTGCTCGGATAGTTTTACATACCGCCTCAAACAAACACGCACACACCGAACCCAGCTCGGGTTCTTCATACGTCTCCTGCTTACAAACACTGACACCCAGAGGACGAGTGGAAGTGACACCGGAGCAACAAACAGCTGGCGAGACGTTCGTTCATCACAGGCTGAAAATAACAGATGGGCAGAAAAAACTCAACTGCAGACAGGAAGAGCACATATTGGATCATGTAGAAACACACACCCAAACAAAAGCCCAAACAATGGAAAAATACACCGTCGATGCCCAGAAGTTGAGTCAAACCACTCCATCATCTACACTCCAAGGCTTCTGCTCATTTTTAAACATCTCTTTCAAACTTACTGCCTTCATCAGGACAAACTAAGTAAAAAGTGGGAGTAAAAATATTGAATAAAGAAAAGGAGGAAGCCGAAGGAAAAGGATGGAATGACAGAAGAAGGAGCTGGGGATGAATATTTAATGCTGTCTGCAGATGAGCAGCATAAACACTTCCAGGGAAGAGTAAAGACCAAAACAGTAACAGATTCATGAGTAAAGAACGGGATGTTTATCAGTTTCCTTACCAATTAGGATATACTAATTATTAATCAGGAAGAACTGATCATTCACTGGAAAAAGTCATTTTTTCTTAAAATAAGTGCATTTGTTCTTGGATTGAGGAGGTAAAAGATACTTTGCCAATGGAACGAGACAATTTACATTTAAAATAAGTAAAAGCAATTGCATTGTCTTATTTCAAATACATCTTATCTAATTATCTCATTTTAAGAGTAAAAATACTCACTCCATTGGCAAACTATCTCATTTACCTCTTTAAGTGTTGATGAAGCTGGTGCTGCTAAATTCCTGATTTTTATTATGCTTAGTTTTATTCTCAGGGGATTCATTTCTCTCAAGCTGGGTACAAACGGTACGATTTTTTTCAATCGTTGAACGCAGCTGCAGCTCAAACTGTACTATGAAACCGCTCTAATGCGATCTACCTGCTCACACTCTACGTCTAAAAACCAGGTGGGACTCAGCGCCGCAGTGACACGGCGCTACTCAGACTCATCTATCTGGAAGCCAAACCAGTAGCAGAGGAACATGAAGCTCACTAGAGTGAAACGCGCTGCCTTGGATATTTGGGCGATTT